GACCCAACAAGATTTTCTGACCCCCAGGCTCCTATACCCAGGAATAGGGGCGGGTTTGTCCCCAATGTCCCAATGTCTCAGCAGGGTCCCCTGTCCTAACATAAAGTTGTTGACCCCATGCTTCCATTCCAAGCACCCCACCTGCTCCACAGTCTCCGGCGCAAGATCATCCCATCCTTCCTCTTCAACTGGACCCTGAGCGTCGGGCCACACACCAGCAAACAAAACCCACAGAAGAAGACTCCCCCTGCCTCCGGAGCGTCCTCGTCACCCTGGTCAGCGCCCTGCTCCTCAACTGGACCCTGAGCGTCGGGCCACACACCAGCAAACAAAACCCACAGAAGACACCCCCTGCCTCCGGAGCGTCCTCGTCACCCCGGTCAGCGCCCTGCTCCTCAACTGGACCCTGAGCGCCGGGCCGCACACCAATAAACAAAAAAAACCCAAAGAAGACACCCCCCCCCTGCCTCCGGGACCTCCTCGTCTGCCTGCTGAAGGGCCTCCTCCTCAACTGGGTCCTGAGCGCCGGGCCGCGCACCAGTAAACACAAATACACACCACCCTCGAGCCTCCGGGATCTCCTCGTCAGCCTGTTCAGGGCCCCCTGCCGTCTCCGCCTGAACGAAAGGGGTCTGGCGCTATAAACAAAAGGCACACGACAGACTGGCCTTCTCCGGGCCGACGTGCACACTCGTGGTCTCCGCGATTGGGCCGCTGGAGCGACCGTTGATGGGTGGATGCCAGAACACAGTGTCACCATCAATGAACCCCGCTAGGGCCGTCCCTCCAGGCAGCCCAACGTACGTCTCGCGAGGCAGTTCGAGCACATTGCGCAGCGCCTCCTCCAAGTCCTGCCCTTCGGTCAAGGTGTATGTACCGGGCTCCACGCCCTCGCGGAACCAGTAGCCCGCGATCTCGATCGTCTGCGAAGCAGGCGGGCACTGAGCGATTTTAATCCTACGCACACCCGTCGCCTCCTGTTGCTCCTCACGGTCGGCCCCTGAGCTCGCCGCTGCTGAGGCCTCGATTGGACAAAACGCCGCGACTGCAAACACAAAAAACCCCGCCTTAGACTTGCCTCGTGGCGATCTCCGCCCTCACTGTCCGTTGGCTCCTATGAACGACACACACACAGCGCACTCAGTGGCATCTATCACCCCTCGACCCAAGCCTTCTTCACAAATCTATCCAGGGCCCCGAAGGAGGCCCCGGCGGCCTGTTTCAGCATCCTCTTCATGGCCTGCAGTCACCGGGGCTGACCAAGGCAACAGGAGCTGCAAAATCGGGGCCCAAGCCGTCGAATTGATGTGGACGGTCAAGTACCTGGCAGAGGCGCGAATAAAGTCGGACCGTCGGAAGGGGGGTCCAGGGGCGCGCCTTCCACTTCAAACGGGAAGCCCTTGCCGCTTCCCCCACAGAGTGAACAAGCAAAAGGCTGCGGCGCAACAGGATCAAGGCATGCTCAGCACAACGGCAAAACACTTGACTTGACGTTCTCACTCAAACTGGCTCCGACCCTGTTTTTTTCTTCCAAAAACCCAATCGCAACACAATCCTCGGCCGACCGTCAGCGGCTCAGTCGTGCCTTTTTTTTGGCTGCCCACGCTCGCCCCGCGGCCGCGGCCGCTGCCGTTGCTTCCGGCGTGGGCCGGGGCTTGTCCTCCTTCTTCTCGTCCTTTGCCAGGGCGTTGTCGTCCTTCTTCTCGCCCTTTGCCA